TTATAGCTAACATAAAAATATGCAACAGTAAAATATACAAGGTATTTGAAAAAATCATATGTTTTTATAAAAATTGCCTTCTTAATCTAACAATGTAATATCTAATTGAATACACCACACAATATACTTTCATAATTACGTCTTTGAATATATTTTTTAGATATGTTGATTCCTTTAATGCGCCATACCAAATATTTTTGAAAATACAAGAGCTAATCATATATATTTTCGTAATTATTATATTTTATTATAGATTAGCTTGACAAATAATCAATATTGTTGCAAAAAAAAATATTTCGTATTGANTAGATATGTTGATTCCTTTAATGCGCCATACCAAATATTTTTGAAAATACAAGAGCTAATCATATTTATTTTCGTAATTATTATATTTTATTATAGATTAGCTTGACAAATAATCAATATTGTTGCAAAAAAAAATATTTCGTATTGAATGGATTAATGTATGTAAAATGTATGTTTTCATAATACTTTAAATATAAACGGGTAGATGTGATGAAAATGTGTTGTTCCTTTAAGCTAGGTTAAGTATCTTAGTCTATGATGTGAATTTATAAGAATTGTGGCCAGAAATATGTTTATGAGTAAAAATTAAAAACCTTAATTTTCATGGGTTCAGTAAAAGGACGAGGTCACAAGCGACTAACATATTTTCTACACGTTTTCGGAACTAGAACTTGTGTTAATTTAATCGTATATTTATTTATTTTTTTTATAATGTTTAACGTACTGATAAATAAATTTAAGACGTGACGAATTTAAATAATTTAATATTATTCATTTTTATTTGATTACATAATTATATATTACATCAAGAAAATAATTACAATATACATTTTAATTTATGCAGCGCTGTCTGAATAAGAAGCGTTATTGAAATCGTTAGTCTTTTTTTTTTCAGAACGGCGAAATCTATTTTGGAAATAATGCTAGTATTATTACTTTGATGTAACGCAACTTTTCGTACTGCTCAAGTAAAACTGAAATAAAATAATACCTGAACTCAGTAAACAATTCAATTAGTTGCTTTCAAATGTATTAGACATCTATGTTCATTTATGAGAATTTTAACACATGTATCATATCAAAAATTAACTATAGGTGAAATTGGAATTCAAGCTTCTATATAAAGAAAAAAAAATTTCAAAACCGTTTAATTACAAGTACAAATCTTCTTCAAATAATAATGTGTCTAGAGAGAAAAAAGTAATTTTGTCCAAATAGTTTTAGATCCTGTATGGTTCATTGTTAAATTTGAGGATTTTCTTTCCCAAATCTTCCATTGTATATTAATTTGGTGATATCAATGTCGGCTTATGAAAAAGTTTCATGGATTATTTATTAAGAAATAGATGCTATAGACATAGTATAGTTTTTTATTTCTGACGATAAAAAAAAATGTGGTAGTTTATATGATAGATGAGAGTACTTTATACTAGCAACACAATACAAGTACCAGAAAATTTGTTCGGAGGTATTGGAAACTTTATTTTAGGTAGATTTTTCATTTTTTATCTCAAAAATCAATTGTTTTTATAATTTAGCATTTATTTATATGGTCATAGCTATTTAAAATGTATTTAATAATCATTATTTACTTTATAATTAATATATATTTGTTGTAATACTGAAGTAAAAATTTTTAAAGTCTTTAATGATATAAAAACAAGTAAAATTCAGTATCTGAATATATTAGCTCTGTGATAGACAATTGAACAATTTTAATTTAAAACAAAATTTACTTTTAGCTTTTTATTTAAATTAACAAAAACGTGTAAGTGATGTATGACTGAAATGAGTATTTATAATAACCTGAAATGCAAAACTATATATATAGTACCTCCTCTCTAAAACTTTATAAATTACTCGAGATGTTTTTAAGTTTGTCTTTTGAAAACTTACCGTTGGTTTCAAATAATTATTATGCTTTACCGGTTGAAGAACCAGCCTCTAGTTTTATATAATTATATAATCCACAAGCTTAGTTTCAGGTCACTTAGACACTTGAATGTACGTTAATCAAAAGTTTTGAACGTATCGTTAAGGCTCTTTCCCATGTGTGTTAGTTATATCAAGTTTTAAATAGATTTTCCAAATATCGCCTATACGATTGAGTACAACAACTGAACGCTGTGAAATTTGTATTAATTTCACGTTTGAGTTAATGTTTAAAGACCTATAACATACACACCACATTAAACAACAACACTTGATAAATAGAATAATGTGTACAGACGGGAAACGTTCAAAAGTAATTCAAGTAGAATTATATAATTAATGGGTAATATAATTGAAGCGACTTTATTACCTCATTTTAGCTAAAACTTATTTTATTTAAATATGTATATTATCGTCAGGTCTTAGAAAAAATATCGGAAATTCATCATAATGATTTTTATTCAGTAAAAATAAAGTTACAAGTACTCTAAAAGCCAATTTCATAGAATTAAAATAACATTGCAACGTGTTTGGGAGACTTTGCAATGGTATTTTGCTTTGAATAACGGCATTTTATTTGAACTATAAATGTCTGTAATACAGATTATCCCGAGAGTCTATGACATCTGTCGTTGGCGTGAAGCTTCTATAAATTATTGTCAACTACAATCTAAATCGTATTTTGCTAACATTTACTATAACGAGTTATGTATTGTTTCTTACTATAATATTAGGGAAAAATCAGATAGTACAGACATTTGTACATTCACGTGCAAATAAAACCTTGAAGTTTAAATAAAAAAAAAGTAATATTAAAAATAATATCTCATAAGATTTAAGATTGTAAGGTTAAATTCTACTCGGATAAAAGTTTGAAATAAGAAACTTAAACCAAATGTTTTTTGTATGCTTTATTATTTTCAAATTTCAATTTCTCTAGATTCAATTATTTAAAACATGAATCAACAAACAATTTCTAATCTAACACAGTGACATGAATGGCCACATTCATTTGAAATAATTTAACATAGAAACGTAAATTTAAAGTTAATTCAAATTGTAATTAATTAAAATAAATAGTTAATTTTATAAAAATAAATTTCAAACGGAATGACATAAAAGGAAGTTTTAACTTAGAAAATATTTAGTTTATTACTATAACTAATTTATCTTTTCATTAATAACTACATGCTTTATTTGATAATTAAAACTTTAATCTATTAATTATCAAAATACCTCATTGCATGACCTTTAATAATTAAAAAAATTAATTTTCTCTGTAGTTATTCGAACTTTTAAACAACAATATTTTTCATCATCATTGGCGTTTAATCATTTATCGTTAGTGAATATCTTTAATACATAATAAAAATATTTATTTTGATAAGATTATCTCAATGGTACTAAACTTAAACTATATCAGTGCATTTTTCTTAGCAAAGGCAAAATGGTTAATGCCGATTTGTATGATATTAAAAACAATTTGTTTAATTGTTATATATGAGAAAAAAAATTTTCATGTGGTAACATTCATTAGATATTTGTGAGATAGGATATAAATGGCCAGGACAGAGAATTGCCAAGTAAATAAAATAGAATTTTTTAATCCTTATTTTAGCAGACACTCGAAAATTTTTTGTAGAGAATTATGTTAGTACAATTATAGTTAAACAACACTTGATAGTATTAATATTTGATAATTTTATGATGTGTTATTTTATTATATAGTATTAATTTAAGAATCATAAGCTTTAATATTAAATTTAGTTTTAAAATATTATTAAAATAAAAGTTATTTTTTCATGACATTTCATTTGAGTAATTTAATTAACTAGAAGATCTTTTAAACGGGTTCTATTGTTCTAATTGTTTATAAAAATTTACTTGTGTCCTTACTTACTCAACATTCTATATACTCAAATTAAGTAGTATTTTATATAACTAAAAATAGTTAATAATACAATTTTTAGTTTTTGTTTTGTTGGTAAAAATATTAAGTAATGAACATTTAATCATCTTTAAGTATATCATAACTTTTTATATAATTTTAATTGCTTATTTTTTATAGGCCCCATTACTAACCACGCAAAATATCCTATAAATATTTTGTCTAATTTTAATGAAATACATGAATATTTTATATTTCAATCTTGTTGGTAACAATGAATTATTAAGAAACAAAAGACATTTTAAATGCTTCATAATCTTTGATTATTTTATATAATATCTTTGGATCAATATATCGTATATTTTACTGTTATAGTTGTAGATAAACTTTGAAAAGTTGTAAAATTTTACAATAGACACGATAAATATATTGTAAACTTAATTGATTGAATATATTGATAAACCTAAGATCAAATTTCCTAAACATTATTAATTATTTTTAAGATAGATCCTTAAACTAAAAAAAAAGTTCTAGTAAAATTGTCTCGACAATTTTGAAATGAATCAACGTAGATGTAAGAAAATAATTTCGAGATACAAAAACAAGAATGGTGCCATTCGATAATCGATAAAAGCCCATCAATAAGTATCCTGTCCAGTCAAAATTGGCTTGAAGATAAATTTAAGATAAACAATTTTTTAACCGAGGTGCTATTGTGCCGAATAAATATATTACGTATAATAAAGTAAATCTCCACATCATGATGGATATATATATATATATTTTTTGGGATTTAGAGTTCTCAGGATTTTTTTTATTGACTTTTGTGCGGATTTATTGCCTAACGACAAATACCACGTACCCTAAATACATTGTTCGGCAAAAAGTTTGTCCAGCAATCCTCTACGCCCAAGTATAAATCGACCGTTTTGTCGAAAATTCCGCACTGAAAACGCCTATAAACCGACGGTCATAAACTTAACTCCGATTCGAGTAGTAATGCGTGAGTGCATGCACTGTAAAGCATACTAGCGAGCGCAATATTATAATATAATGTTTATGTTATTTTCCAACAAATGTTTTATGTGACGATATCAAAACGCTCACCGTTTACATTTTACACGCCAATAAGAGAACTTTGGCAAGCACTTACCTATTTCACAATAAACTCCCTCGTAGTTTTTGTCTCGACACTGGCATTTTGGACCCGAATCGGTGGATATGCATATTCCGCCGTGTTGGCAAGGATCGTGTTTCTCGCACGCATCTGGATTGGCCCGATGGTGATTAGACACTTTGCCACCAACACCGCCATTGACCTGTTAAACATAAAAAAAAGTAAGCCGTTAATAACGAGGCTGTTGAATTTGCCAAGTACAACATATAATGGCATGTTGACGTATAAATTTAAAGTTGTAATCAATACTAACAGCGTACAAAAACATTTTTACACTTACTTCTGTTTCAATAGCGTCAAATGATCGATTTTAATTTAAGTTTAGAAAATGTGGCTGTCATCTACAATTCATATTTTATTTCAGTGGGTTTTTTACTGTTAGAAATGTTGCAAAAATTATAAAGAGACTTAAGTATATAGATTGTTCATTCACACAATGAGACATCATGATTTTATCGGCTTTTTTTTTTTGTCTGCATTGTCAATTGCCATTCTTTTTTTTATGTTTAGTGAACCCACCGAGTTCACTGAGCCTGTTTGTAAGCTTACGACCTCCTTCCTACTTTTACATCATCAACACTCTAACTCGATATGTCTTGAGTTTACTGTATTATTGTTATTGTAGTATTAAACTTTAGATACTAATTAGTATCAGCATAGTTCAACCACGGCACTCGTAAAGATTTAAGATAGTAAAACGATTCCAGAAGGAAATTCTAAGTGCAATCGTTTGTCGAATATTTTCACCAAAGTGTAATTAAGAAATTATTTATTTCAATGAAACACTTTCACACTTTTATAATAAATTTGTTGAAGTTTAATTTTCAACGCTAAATTAAAGATATTAAATATAAAATAAATATAATTTCTCTGAACGATGTAAATACACCTATTACTTTTCATTTATCATTTAATTATGAATGTATTAAAGTTCTCGTGGATTGTTGTATTAGTTAGAAAATTTAAAGGTGTATTTATAGATAAATTCACGTTTTGATTTGTGTGCTGACGATTCGAACTTGTTGCAGAGTTACAAGTCCAAGGAGTAGCTATACTATCGGTCTAGTTGGTTTTCTATTTTTCTTCGTATGGGTAATCAGTTGAGAACCCAATATTGACCGATAACGTCAATATTATTATATAAATTTATTTTTTTTTGTTGTTGATATTATTGTTGATAAAACGACTGTCTTTTTATTATTGGTGTTGTTTTAATATTTTTAGTTTTTGTTGTTGTTTTCGAAACTGTTGTCATTTTAGTCTTTCTTCCCTTTTTATACTTTTTAATAACGAAAAATATTCATTGGATCAAAAGTTATTAAGAATATAAGAATCTGGTGGGATATTCTGTATATTATTACTTTTCATTTTGTGTTTTTAGATAATTTAATTAATGCGAATTAGTGATTATAGTTTAATTTTTAAATTACCTCCAAACTATTGTATATTTCAACGTATTTTTTTTTTTTTTGTTACGAGTAAAACAACTATTGAGCAGATTATAATCTTTTAGTAATTAGTATATGCGTTTAATTGATTGAATTATTTTTAATCCTAATAAATATTTACTAAACCATATTTTTGTTTAACAAATATAAATCTGATAATTTCATCATTTTATTAAATAATTTAAGTAATTTACATGTATAAAAACATTAAAACGAATGTGTTCATTAATAATCATATATACACGGTGATTTTTTTTAATCGATCAACAAATATGTATAAAGTATGGTAGTATGGCACATTGTAGTGAGTTTATAAATACACCAACTATATGCAACTATGCTATACAGATAGCATATCTATTGATAAAGTCATAATTGACAATAAAATCTCCTTTTCTGTGATAACGACGTGATAAAAAAGCAATTAGCTTCCTGTAATTGTAATCCCTCATATATTATACATGTATATTAACTCAAAAATTTTAAAATTTGAAGTTTTTTGTTTAATGAACGAATAATGTTATGTTAGAAATTCAAATGTCTTTCATTATTAAGTTCAAACCTCAAAAATTTTATTGAATTCGAAATATGTGTTTCCTTTGGAAAAAAAAGTTGACACCCTTATAAAGCATAAGAGATAAACTTTAAAAGTATTATACAACTAATAATTCAAAAATGTTTTAATTATTTTTATTCTGTAAGTAATTGAGTTGGTTACGATAAAAGATCACCCTATGATTCATATTCATACATAGAGGAATAAATATGATATATCAATATTAACATATATAAAAAAATCAATTTTCTACACCAATACTTTTAAATAAATTATTATTGATTAATTGTTGCAGTAACTGATCATGAGTTCTCAACATTTTCACAAACCTTTCAAAAAAATTGAAGTAAACGTTTTTTATTAATAAATTTAAAATGTAGATATTTTATCGATTGAAATCGATTAAAAGATGTATTTAATTATATTTAGATCTCTGAGATTATTAATGAAAACATTTTTTAAAGAATTTAAATAACACAGTAGCATTGAAATACCGAAGACTATTAATTTCCTGTATTTATTCTAAATAAATTTCAAAGGAATCGCTACTATCGAAATAAAACCTTTAGTATAAAATTTTATTACGCAATTAAAATGGCTTTTAAAGAATTGGTATAAACTATATGAAGAACATTATGCATTAAATAAAATTTTAGATTAAAAAATAATAAATCCTAAAAAAATATTCCGTAGTAGTCAGCGAAAACACGCACTAAAAGGTTTCATAATAAACCATGTTTTACCCAATTTTTGAAACCCTAGATACAAATTTTTTTGCAAAAAAATATTTTGTAACATAAATTAATTTAGTTGGAAACGTGTCCCTTACAACATGCAATTTTTTAGCTGTTCTCAATAAAAATAGTCTGGGCCGGAATCTTTTATCGGCGGCCAATTGCCAGAAAATTAATTGGGTTGTATAATAAAAATTCATTGTGGTATCGTTGGCTAGTGTTGGCATTTTGTTTCGATGATTGTAAGAACTGCACTGTAATTTCCTTCAACAACATTCCACTGTTAATTTATTTATTTATTGCCTTTCGTCGTCCATCCAACAAACGCACTTGTTTGGAAACTCAAAAGGATGAGTAATAACAGTAATAATAACGAATATAGTGGTTTTAATAATAGTAGTAGTAGTAGTAGTAGTAATAACCGTAGTAGTAGAGTAAAACTTTTTACCGTAAAACACACATTCAAGTGTATAAAAAGAAAGCGCTCATTTATACATAAATATTTTATACTTGTAATGCCGTTATACGAAGCTGGGTAGTGGCACGCCAATATTGATCTCGGATGCGGCTGGTCACGATGAGGGGAGGGTAGAGTGGTAGCGTCGAGCGAATCCCTTTGGGTTGACGTTATAAACGAACGCTTGGGCGGATAACCGTCACCGCCGCCGTAGACGGCCAGTAGCGCGCATCTCCCTTTGCTTCTACCGCCATCGGATCTCCTCCGACCGCTAACGTCGTTTGTCCGTTCAGAGAACTTGGCCGTTTCCTTATTTTGTTCGGTGTGCGTGTCCGTCTGAGCGACCCCCGAGACTGGCTGAGTATGTTCTTTTGTTTAGCTTCTCTAAACTAGACAGCTTCTCAAATATTACCCATGAACACAAATGCCATCAGTGAAATCTTCCCAATTACTATTTCTATGCTTTTCCTGCGGCACTAATACTGCTGTGGCAATAAGACGTTGTACAAAAACCAATATACCCTACAGTTTGTCAAATTCAATTAAAATTTTTGAATGAAACTTAGAACAGTTCATGTAAAAATGACATAACTTTCTAGACATCGACATTCCATTCAATTGCAAAACAATTCAAAAACTTACTTAACTATTATTTCATAATGAATAATCGGTGCCATAATTAATTATCAGTAAAATTGCTGACTTAAATAATCTCAAGTTTTATATCCCACGAGGTTATATTTCATCTTTTGTGAAAAATGTTCTTTTCGTAGAATTTAATAATTACGTATACACGTGGCAACCATATTGAACAACGTGATTCATATGGTAATTAAAGTAGTTAGACATATACGTGATGATTATTTGTCTTAACAGTAAAGTACCCAATCGAACAACTGTTTGATCATATTAACTAGAACAATAAAATCAACTTGAATATTTAGGCCATTACTTATATCTCAATGAAAAATGGCTAATCAGCTGCAAATAATATTTGACTGTGGATCTGATATCCAAGTAAAAAAAAATAAATAGCTACGTTATTTATAATTATATATCGATTGTAATCAATAATTTGTTAAAAAATTTAATTTTATATTAGAAAGATATTTTGAATCTCAAATAAATGTTTAAGAATAATTTTCATGTAACAATTTGAAGGTTGTTACGTTATTAAATGAGTAATTAATATTAATTTGTATATTTATTCAGACCATTGTTAGTTGTTTAATTAGACATTTGGCTTCATGACTGAGAGAGCAATGTATTAATATAATTGAATGAATCTCGTAGAAGACTTTTCTACGTGGGTAGCTTTTGATATTAACAATTAAGTTGAGATAATGTAATAATAATGAAGAAAATTTGTAAACAAATATAAAGTACAATTCAAACAATTTACAAGAATACACTTGAAACTGGTACCCGGTGAACAAATACTTCAGAGTGTTACATTAAGGACACTCAAAAAAATGCTATTAAAACATGGATTTATTCATTGGTATTTTTTTAATAAGATTAAAAATCATGTTGAATTTATAAATGAATGAATAACCCTACTAAGTTCTTTGTACATTTATTCTATTGTATAATATTACGAGAAGTCACATGACCAAAGTAAGTATTTATTGACTGATTAATATTTTTATATTATTAAATATAATATTTAATGACATTGTCGTTCAATGTTCATGAATAATACTGATACTCCATTTCAATAATAATCGAAGGTTTACTCTGTATAGTTATCAGAGCATGTACAATTTGTTACATATATATTTTCAATACAATTTCATTTGTAGGTATTCAAAAATAATCTTTTAATTATTCAGTTTGCATGACTGTAGCTAATTTAATATCAATATATTCAAATGTACGTATGAATATATTTTATATGAAAATTCATTAATTTTACAATTAATTTATGACTATTTGCACAATACATTTAACATTATTATATATTTTCATAATTTTAATCGTACTTGCAGTTTGTTAAGAACGCATACATTATTTTAAATCAATCTTTTAAATAACATTCATAGGGTTTCAATCCTATATAAACTAAATACAGAGTACGTGTAAAAAGGTCAAATGGAAATGTTTAGGTTCATGTGTAAGAGAATGTATTTATGAAAATACTTCATTGTTAGTTATTCATTAATTAATTAACGCCTTAATATATGAAACACTTAAATCCAATAAAATAACGCATTACATGAACCAATGAACTGATAAAACAATACATAAAAGTGTACTATTACTTTAACATTGAATAATAAAATTAGATGTTAGCAAAAATCTACTTTTTTATGACTCTTTTTTAGTTAATATGTTTGTATTAACCAAAACGAATAAGTTACGACACAAATTAATTATTATTTTATTATATTGAAAAAAATGTTGCCATATACGAGTAATAATTGAAATTTTATTTAAAAGTTTTTTTACTAAATATGATTTATGTGATTTTATTTGGTAATTTACTACAATTAAGACAATTTTTTTTATTAAATAATTTATTAAATTCAACTATAGTGAAAATAAAACTTATTATTATGAAGTAACATTTTTTATTTTGTAATCAAGTAATTAGCACATTGAAATACAAACATTTTATAGAATTATATAATAAAAGTTATACAAGAGTCCCTACAAAATAATTTATAATTCTATAGTATGGACTAATGAAATAATAATATAAAAATGCTTTGAAAGTATTTTCATTTACAGCAACTAATACAAGCAGGTAGCAATTTTGTCTATATAATGCGCCTTCTTTGTAACTCGAATTATTTCATTATTTATTGTATTTGTTAACATCTATGGTCTCAGCTTGCTCTTTCATTAAAATGTGATATTTTTATGTGTTCTATACATACATATGTTATACTTTAAACATGCTGTTAATTCCCTCAGGCACAATTATAAAAGTTATAAAAATATACAAGACATACAATTTTGTTTAAGGTAAATACGAGCTAAGATTATCATAAATATTTAACAAAAAAATTCAAAATTAAATAGCATTGTAAATATATTCAAAATAAATATGTCTTGTAAGATTTTTGAAAAATTAAATCAATTAAACTTTAATAGAAAAATTCGATAAAAAAATTATTTTAATCTTGATAAAATTATAAACTATACAAGTATAAGACAATAAAAAAGTAATTTAATCTGTGTAAATGTAATTAGTTAACTTGTTACTAAATTCTAAAGATTTAAAAAATTATATACATGACTAAGAATTTAATAAAATTAAGTGAATCTAAAATGACTTGGAATATAGGTTAGAAAAGTTCCATAAAAGCTAGACTTTCACGGTTTCTATAAATTATTTGGTAAAACTTCTATTTAGTTTAACATAAAGATGTAATTAATTATAAAAAAAATTAGTTAAGTAATTGTATCATTATATTTATATAGCAAGTATTATGGTGTAGTAAATATAAACGAATGGGTATTGTAAGTTCATTATTTTTCTTGGAATATCTAGCGGTTTTTTTTTAAATTGAATAGTTGTAGTTCTTATATTTTTACTGTCTTATTTAAATGTATGTTTGAAATAAATTTTTTGTTTTTATCTCAAAAAATCACCTTAAACCTAGTAACATTAAGCTAACTATTACAAAATTGTATATTTAATACCAAATTTGATCCATAAAATATGTATGTATTTANAAAATTGTATATTTAATACCAAATTTGATCCATAAAATATGTATGTATTTATATTCGAACTTTTATTCTAAGTTGAGTTGAATATCCAATCATTAAAGAATATTTTATAGTTTTGAACACTGTAATTTATTAATACGCGCTAATGTTTGTTAGCGTATAACTACTCTAGTAACGTTTTTTAAAATTCACTCAGTGATAAGTTTATGTTAATTACGTAAATATAAGTATGTATAAAATACACTATTTAATAAATATATGCTGTTGAAATGAATGATAGCTCAATAGAGAATCAATTATTATTGATAGTTTATTAGTTATCATTTTTTTTTGTAAACTTTTATAAAAAAATTGACTTGTATATTTAAAGTAATATTTACACTAGTAAAGGGGTTAAAGTCGACACTAAATATAATAAAATGTTTGTATAAAAAAAAAACTAATGTAATAACATATAAACGCTTTTAGTAACATCTTCCCCAATAATTATTGGCTATTTAAATTTAATGACCTTATTAAGTATAGATGTTGTCTGTCTTGTAAAATGTATTTTGCTATAGAAATTTCAATTATTTTTCGTACGTGCATAACTCTCTGCTTATTTTGTACACGCAAACATGCAAATTTACGTTTACTGGATAAAATCAATACTAGTTAATTTTTATTACAATTCATACGTTACAAAACGCTGCAGTAAAGTCACTAAATATAATGTTTGTATTTCATTGGGTATGAAATAATCATAAAAAATATTATTAAAAGGTTTTCTAAAATCCTATACTAAGCATACAACATTTAACAACTTCCTAACCTAAATCTAAACTATGTGTAATTAATAAGAACCTTGACCAAATAGAATTATTGAATGGTATTTATTATTACACATAAATTTTATCTATAGTATATAATATAATTCGGAGTTTCTTTAAAAAAATTTGAGTATTTGGCGTTTCTATTATTTTTTTTTTATAACTTTGGTTTATTTTATCAAATTTTATAGGACAATATATATGGAGATTCTCATGTGTAGATGTGTTACTCACAATCCATAATTGGCATTACTTTTGCTTCATTATACGGTCGGAAACGGATTAAAACACGCGTAAACTTGCCACAATTAATTAAGATTCTGTTGATGAAAAAACTTATTTAAAATTCAGTACATGAAAAATTGTTAACAATATTAAAAACGCAAAATAAATAAATTAATCTTTTTACAAAACTAAAGGTGTTAATGTATACAATTTTTCACGGACTTATATTATATCACACGTAGTAAAATAACATTACTCATTCAATAACTAATTGAACTAATTGCTTTAAGATGGATTTTAAAAATTTTAATGACATATTCTTATATTTTTAACTAAGACATATATTACATGTTGTTGTAAAATGGCTTTCAACATAGTACAAAAATATCAAGTTGATTTCACATAGAGTAAAATATCTAACGTGAGTTGAAGTAATTAACTAAATCTTTATTGCTTCTATTTGAATTAAGTCATCTAAATTTTATATCTCTCAGTAACGAACTAACTTTTATTCCCATTAGGATATTTGTTAATCTTATAATACATGATAGGGTGTGCTATATCCCACTTACTGTTCAATAATTATCGATAACTGAAATGTTTAAAATAGTTTTATTGACGATTCCTTAAGGAGGGAACAAAGCATGACAATATCACATTTACAGCTAATGGTCTTTTTCGGTTGGATAACGAAATTACTTTGTTCTTAACATTACAACAGTTAAAGGATTTCTTTTCTCTAAACTCTTTTTGTCAGTACAATAAATATTTACAGTAGGTTTTAATTGAAATTCGCATATCAAAGTACACTCGTTATTCAAATATACTATTATATAATACTTTGTTTTTATTTAATAAAATTTAACGATCAGTGACATCACTCAAAAACTTATTAATTTAATTTAAAAATAGTTTACAGTATCAAAAATTAATATTGATGAGAATTAATATTCTCGGAATATTAAAAATAACACGTCCAAAGTTAGGAGACTTTTAGAGAGCAGACTATAGAATAATACATATAGGTGTATCAAAGAAAATACTTGTCGTGGGAGAAGTAAGGATTATCACGAATACAATGCTAGAAAAGAAAGTTAAAGGGGTTATAAACAATATGACGATAGAATTTTTCTAGACAAGTTCCAAACGAAACCTAAATATATGTAAAAACTTTAGGTTAGCGCCATCTGTGTAATTGTGTTGATATTTTATAATTGTGTTATCAGTGTCTATCTGTTATATGTAGTTCTTTTTAGTGTGTTTCCCTTAATAATATAAATGTGTGGTAAACGTCGTGTAATTAATTATTCTTTTTTAGGTAAATGTTTTGTTTATTTAAATTTGTATTTGTTTTTTAATTTATATTTAAACATGTTTGTAATATTCTTTTTTAGATTAATAAAATCGGTTAAAACCACATTACAAATTAATTACATTTCTGAAGGTACCATATTAAAAGAAGATGAGTATAAAGAAGGAAGAGAGAAAATTATTTATACATATTATCAGAAGAGGGGAAGACGTTTTTGAGGTAGCTGGTTTGTCAGAAAATAAGATTTTGTGGTGTATTTTGCCAAGTGAGTATCAAAATATTAAATGTCACAAAATTTTACTGTCAAAATCTACGATAAGAAGTGCTATTAATGCAATTAAACCGATTAATGGTTTTCGCAAAGTTGGCTTAAAAATAGATGAAGATCTAAAGAAAGAATATTTTGATGAAGAAGATAATTTATGCTTTAAAAATCTACCGTTAGAAGAAATAAACTCTATGTCTGATATCACTATTCAGTCAAACAGTTTTGAAGAAGGAATGATTTTAATGGAAAGAATTAAAGAATTGGAAAACAAACTTAGTTTAAGTGAGGAAGCTTCTTTACATTTAGTTGAAAAAAAATTTTTATTAGAAAAGTTTGAAAAAAAACAAAATGCTGCAGAATGGATAGAACAGTTTGAAAATGAATGCAAGCGACACAAAATAAATAATAACAAAAAGATTGAGGCACTTAGATTTTTTTTAGATGGGTCATCTAAAGATTGGTATGAGTCAAATTTGAAAAAGATTGGTCCAGTAAATTGGGATGAATGGAAAAGTTCATTTCTCATAATTTTTGTTGATAAAGGATGGATTAATGTAAGAAAAGCCTTTAATTACAAATACCTGGGTGGTTCTCTAGTAGATTATGCTCTGACTAAAGAAAGATTATGTTTAGAAGCTGAGAAAAATGCGACAGTTATGTCAAGAATTAACTTGATTGTAGTTGGGTTGTCTTTAGAGATTCAAGATGAACTTGACCGAGAAACAATAACAACGATGGAAAAATTGGTAACTGAACTAGCAAAATTAGAAGGTTCAGTAAGAACAAAAAAAAAAGAGGTTGCATCAAGTACAAATTCAAGTATAAAAACTGAAAATTTTAAGGGTAGAACTGAAGAACAAAAGAAGAAGATAAGTGAAACCTTTAAGAAACCTTGTTATATGTGTGAAAGTTTAGGGTGGCGAAACCGTTTCCATCCTACAACTGAATGTAGAAATAAAAATTTATACACTACTAAATTTAAGGTTAATCTTAATGAAGCAATTAATGATTCTGAGACTGATCAAGTATCAGAAATGATTAATATTGAATTAGATAATAAATCTTTAAACTAAAATGCCCGGAGAAATTAAATTCATTGATTAAAATTAATGTACTTGTTGATAATAAAATGATTATAAAAGCAGTATATGATAGTGGTTCCAATGTCAGCTTAGTAAACCAAAAAGTTGTAGATATTTTAAAATCAAGTTTAAAGAAAAACAAATCTGCTTTTAAGACAATCAATGGATTCAATTTCTGTACAGCACGGGCAAACCTTATTTTAAAAATTGGAAAATTTACAAATTATTTAAATACATATGTTGTTAAAAATAATAAATTTTCTTATGACCTTTTATTAGGTTTGGATGCTATTAAAACATTCAAATTAATTCAAGATCATAATCTAAATATTTTACAAAAGATTAATTCAAATA